GGGGGGGGGGGGGGGGGGACTCCTTCTAGGTTGCCGAGGAGGGTCAGGGTCGGTGGCTCCTCGGCGTTTATGTGGTGGCGAGGTTCGAACGAGCCGATGACTTTTGGGTTGTGGCTTTAATCATCAGTTTGGTGGTAGTCGGGTTGAGATCGGGCAATTCCGCTTTCCTCCTTTCTTCTGATTTCTTCTGCTTTTGGGACGTCTCGGTTAGAATGGAAGAGTTATGCCAGGGTCAGGTCTTATGGGCTGGGCTGGTAGAGCTTGTTTTGCTTCTCTGGTCGCAGGTCTTCGGGTTGTCTACCCGGGTGGGGCAGGGCCTTTGTCTCGGATTTAGTTAGGCGTTTATACTGCAGTTTCTAGTTTTGTGACTTAGATCGGGTCTCTGTGTGTGTGGTTGGTTATCCGTGGGTGTCGGCGTTGCTTTTGTTTGGTTTGGTTTCGCTGCTATAGGAAAGACTTTAGTTTATTTATTTCTTTGTTTTGATTTGTTGTTATGTTTGTGTTGTACTGTAAGTGTGCATTTGTATTTTTTTTTCTCTTCGCTTTAAGAGTGTCTATTCTTTGTTAGGGAGTTTGTATTCTCTCGTTGGGGAGTTTGTATTCTTCCGTTGGGGAGTGTGTATTCTTCTGTTGGGGAGCTTTTGTATGTTTGTAGTTGTAACACCCCGCTTTGATTTTTAAAGAAATTCCGGACTTCCTAAAAATCAGAACAAATTTTTCGAATTCGTTTTCAAAATCAAGGGCATTAACCAACACAATTTACTTAGTCCAAGTCTTATCTGTACTCACGGGGATTCATAAACCCGATTTTTCACAAGCTTTTCATTAACCCGATTCACACTTCAACATAATATCCCATATGAACAACTGAAACTTCATAAATCAAACACCATGATTATTCAAGGTTTCAAAAGGGTTTTCCAAAATATTTTCAAACATCAAAACATAGTTTGAAAACAGTTTTCACATGTCCAAAACATAGAAAGGTTCATAACGACCATATTATTAAAGCGGAAGCAAAACGAAATAATAAATAGACCACCACTCGTCCTTTGTCCCGTCACCCGGCCACTGCTTAACCTGCATCCGTGAAGAGCAGGTGGGAATGAGCACAAATGATAAAGTAGTGCTCACTACTATGCACATAATAACATGTAAAGATGGTATGGTCGCAGCATGAATATAAATCAATCATCATCATGTCTCATCTCCTAACAATCGTAACAATAACTCACTCATGTGCACATCTATCATTAGCCGCGGAAAGGGGATGCATAAACCCTAACGACGGGAGTGCGTGCCACTGTATCGGACACGGCCTTTCATTAGGTCATAAGGAGACTTGCCTCGCAAGGGCAACCGTACCGTAACTCGACGGGGACAACCGTACCGAAGGCCGTAACAGCTCACATCAGTAGGCTACATGGTTCACATGCATACATTGATCATACCAACAAAACATTAAACAACACGTATGGCATGGACAATTTTATAAGTAAACCTACCTGAATTTCGGATTGACGATAGCAAATTCAAAAAGGACGTAGGTCGAGGCTTGACTCCTCAGACACCTACATTAAGTCAAGATCCTACAATTATTATCTATCCCGACTTAAACGGAAAACACAAATCATACTTAATTAAACTTGGTTCGACTAAGTTATTCGTGAAGTCCTGTGGACGTTGGAACACTTAGACTCGACACTATACTCAACCAAATCTTACATGGGAGTTCACATAAATCATAGTAACGATTGATCAAGTCCAACAAACAAGAAATAGAAAGTATGCCGATTTACAGTTTTTAACACAAAAATCATATTTCACAATCATTAGCCAATAATCACTAAAATTAAGTTGAACATGTTGCCCTATGAATTAGACTTTGCAAATTTAACAAAAAATACACTTCCCAACACTTAGAAAAATCACCAAGTTTCAGCCTCAAATTCAAAGTACATGATTTTATAAAATTCAAATACGATACTAGCAAAAACGAGCATAAAATCAAAGCCTGACCTAACGAACGAACTAGCATATTAGATTTTTACTGGGGCAAGTTCAGCAATTAAGGATCGACATATAATAATCCCAGCAATTTACTCCAAATATACTAATAATGAAAATTCTTACAAAGTTCATCATTTTATTGGATTTTAATTAAAACCAAACCAATTCTAACTCCAAAAATTCTAATATTTTTTATAACATGCTAGTACACATAAATAAGCATCTCAGCCAAAAATCAGAATTTTCCAGCAACTAACTAATTTATCAAAATTAAAATACTTTTTAGCAGAAACTGTAAACAAATTATTTACCCTATCAATATCAATCCAAAAATTCTAAAACTTTTATACCGCAACCAAATCAGGCAGAAAGGCATCATATTAAAATTTCATGAATTTTGGAGTACTACACAATCTATTTTTAATTTAACATGAATTTGACCAGAAATCACTATAATTTTTAAAAGTAGCTACAGACCTCCGAAAATTCTAAAATTTTCACACAAGCTATATAACTACTAGAGTCATATACAGTTAAATTTTCACATCAATCGGACCGACATACAATTTATCATGAATTAAATACGATTCAGCAGCTAGTTCGGTTTCGAAAAATCACATAGGACCCGAATCACATCCAATTCGCCCGAGGCCTTCGCCATGAGGCAAAGGACTCGACATAGTCCTAAAATTCACAGTCCTAACACGAATTTGATTGGATTTCGCACGATTTCACATTAATCAATAAAATCCCAACATAAACGCATAATATATAATCCAAAATAGCGAAATAACTTCAAAGCTCGAAACACATATATAAACGAGAGGGTAATCGAGTTTCGGTACCAATCTCAGGATTAGTACGCAACGATGAATGAAACGATAGCCGAGATGGGTCGTTTGAAGGCCGGGAGCAGGCTCGTCGGGCTCAACGTCAACGGCTCGCGGGGGTGGCGCATACGTAGTCCTGCAGGGCTGCTCCGGCTCGCTAGGGATGCCGAAAAACGATCGCTGAGTTGTCGACTGATAGCCTGGACTTGTTGGT